AACAGCTAAAGTCTGTCTACACTGGACGCGATAAAGCGACCGTTGCAAATCATTTGGATTTTGTGTCAGTACGTCATAGATAGAACGAGGCAGCAGTTGACTGGTGGGGATTTGTCGTGTTCACGCCGTGCCGCCTCCAATGTAGACAGCATCACTGATTATAATGGGTTCTATAGTATTTTTTCATGTCGTGTCGTGTCACGCAGTGCCGCTCGCGACACGGTGTAACTTCAAAAATCTCATTGATTCTACAGGCATCTTCCACCTGCGTGTACCAGAGTCATCAGCAGTTGGGTCAGCGGTTGGCCGAATCAAAGCTCATGATCTGGACATTGGAAAGAACGCAGAGGTGGAATACAATATCGTCCCTGGAGATGGAGGAGCCATGTTTGATATCACCACCAACGAGCACAATCAGGAGGGAATCATCATGCTCAAAAAGGTAAAGCCTCATTTATGTACTAACAGCAAATATATACAGGTTAAATACTCAGCAGTTGATTTTTATTATTATATGATGGTCACACTAGAACTTAAAAATTCAACATTTATCAAGCCTTCATTTATTTCTGCCACTACTTTTGCTTTACCCTTGTCGCAGACTTGCAGATATGGACTTCAGATGAAAATGTAACAATCAATAGTTTTATGATGCTTTTTAAAACCGTTGATCACCAAAACAAAGAGCAAAGTGATTCTAAACCATTTGAGTATTTATTGCAATTTTCCCTCAGTTAATGAAGTTTTATCATTAAAGAAGCAACATTTTATCATTCATACCTTCATGATTTATTTTTGCTACTGCTATATTTGCTTTAATGTTGTCACAGACAGACTTAAAATATGAAAATGCATCATAAAACTACTAATTGTTACATTTCAGTCATCAAAACAGAGTAAAATGATCAAAAAACATTTGAATATTCATGCGGAGAATATTATTCATATACATTTTTACTCGAATCACAATTGTCCCTCAGTTAATGAAGTTTTATAAATAAAAAATGCAACATTTTATCATGCCTTCACTTATTTTTGCCATACGTCTACTTTTAATTTACCCTGATTACCGACATACTTTCAATCTTAAAATATATAAATGCATCATAAGAGTAAAATGATCACAATTCAAACTATTTGATTATGTAAGGTAAGAAAATGTAAAATTGTAATCAATAGTTAGTGTACTTGGTTACAAAAATGTCAAAAGTGTCAGTCTAAATGTGCTTGAGATGAAATGCTGTTTGAGTCGTCTTATGTGTAAAGAAAAAGAAAAATCAAAGTAATTATCTCTTGTGAAATTTCCAATCAAGCTGTAATTTTGTCAAAGTGTGGAACAATGTGTAAAAATATTAATTAAATCAGCTTTCACAAGTTTTCAACTCACACTACAGAACAGAAACACACATTTGTGTAAGTTCACAAATGGCCTCCCTCTAAGCCAAAGTATCCCAGTTGCCATAGTCCTTCCTCATCTATTATTATATGAACATCACATTAAAAATGCATTACGTCACGCTTATTTTTTCCACTGCTACTTTGCTTTACCCTTGGTGCAGACACAGACTGTCAATATGAAAATGCAACATAAACCCACTGATTTGTTCAACTTTGATCATCAATACAAAGAGAAAAATTATTATCAAATCATTTAAGTATTTATAGTGAGAATATTATTTACACCAACTTTTACAGTAATCACAATTTTCTCTCAGTTAATTAAGTTTAATCAATAGTTAGTGTACTTGGTTACAAAACTATCAAAAGTGTCAGTCTAAGTGTGCTTGAAATGAAACACTGTATGAGTCGTGTTATCTGTGAAGAAAACAAACACAAATCAAGGTAATTATCTCTTATGAAATTTCCAATTAAATTACGCAAAAATGTGTAAACATATTAATTAAGCCAGTTTTCACAAGTTTTCGAAAAGTACGGTTCTACATGCTGCCATAGACTCACACTACAGAACAGAAACACACACAAGCTTGACTTTTAAATACAAAAACCTGAGAAATGACATTGTGTTTAAGTTAGCATACAGGTAAATCGGCCTCCCTCGAGAGTCTATCCAAGTTGCCACAGTGCTTTTACACTGTGTCGTGACTCAACCGTACGCTGAAAGTGACAGAGATCCCATCATTCTTTCAAGCGCGGCCACATTATAAAAACATCACTCAAACATCGCAGTTAAGAGCTCTTTGGGGTAATTGTGTCTGACATTAAGAACTCCCCCAAAGGTAAACTAGGCAGCTCAGCTATTCTGGAGAGTATGCAAGGTGACTTTCTTGGATTTGAATTGAGCC